ACTACATCAAAAATTAAAAACATCTATGCATCACAGGATACAATCAACAGAATAAAAAGACAACCTAAGGAACAGGACAAAATATTTGCAAATCATATACCTGAGAAGGAATTAATATCCAGAATATACAAAGAACTCCTACAGCTCAACAACAACAACAAAATAACCCAATTTAAAAATGAGCAAAAGACTCGAATAGACATTTCTCCAAAGAAGATATACAAATGGCCAAAAAGTATTTGCAAAAATGCTCACCAACGTTAATTAGGGAAATGCAAATCAAACCCACAATGAGATACCACCTCACACCCATCAGGGTGGCTACTACTAAAAAAATAACAGAAAATAACAAGTGTTGGTAAAGATATAGAGAAATTGGGACCCTGGTACAATGTAAAATGGTGCAGCTGCTATGGAAACAGTATGATGTCTCCCCAAAAAGTTAAAAATAGAATTACCATATGATTCAGCAATTCCACTTCTGGTTATATATCCAAAAGAATTGAAAGCAGGGTCTAGAAGAGATATTGGTACACCCATGTTCATGGCAGCATTATTCACAATAGCCAAAAGGTGGAAGCAACTCAAGTGTCCATCGGTGGATGAACGGATAAACAAAATGTGGCATACACATACAATGGAATATTATTCAGCCTTAAGAAGGAAGGAAATTCTGACACGTGCTACAAGACAGATGAACCTTGAGGAGATTATGCTAAGTGAAATCAGCCAGTCACAAAAAGACAAATACTGCATGATTCCACTTATATAAGGTTCTAGAGTAGTCAAAATCATAGAGACAGAAAGTAGAATGGGGGTTGTCAGCGGCTGGGAGAGGTGGATATGGGGAGTTATTATTTAATGGGTATAGAGTTTCAGTTTTCCAAGAGGAAAAAGTTCTGAGAGGGATAGTGGTGACAGTTGCACAACAATGTGAATATACTTAACAATACAGAACCGCACACTTAAGAATAGTTAAGATGGTAAATTTTAGGTGTGTTTTACCACAATTAAAAATAAAAAAATTTTAAAGCAACTATAATTAACGATCTTAGAGACATAAGAGATAATAGTATGTCCATGAACAAGAATAAGATGCTATAAAAAAGAAAAAGAAATTGTCTTAGAAGTGAAAAATTATAAGAAGAGACATTAAAAAAAAAACTAATAGAAATGTTGGAAGATAAAGTTGAGGTAATGTCCCAGAAAATAGAACAAACATTTTTAAAAATGGAAAATTGGAAAGAACATTTTGAAAAATTAAAGGATCAATCCAAGAGGTCCAACATCCAACTAAAAATAGATCTGGAAAGAAAAGTCAAAAACAGAAAACAGAATGGAGGAAATTAGCACAAAGAGATTTCCCCAAAATTGATTTCCAGATTAAAAGAGATCGATTTCCAGAGTAGAAGGCCCACAGAAAATGCACATCCTTATGAAACCTTAGACCTCTGGAAAATCCTCAAAACTGCCAGAGAGAAAAATCAGGTCACACATACAGGATCAAGTATCAGAACGTCATTTGACTTTTCAACAGCAACAATGGATCATGTCCTCAAAACTCGGAAGGAAATTTAGTTCCAATCCAGAGTTCTGCGCCCAGCTGAACTATCAATCAAAGCTACTGGAGTATATGATCTGTCGCAACAAGGAAATAAACCAAGGGGAAAATAAAAGGCAAGAGATTCAGAAAACAGGGTCCAACAAGAGGCAAGAGGCACAGGAAATTCCCAGAGGGTAGTGGTGCAAAGTCCCAGGATAACAGCTCTGCGGGTCTCTAGGGTAACAGTGCTGACTGCAGCCCAGGGAGGAGGTCTCCGGAGGGGGTCTCTAAGAACACAGACACCTGGAAGACCACCTGGTGTGTTCAATCAGGCTGCACAGTTGGGGACTGAATTAGGGATAGATATGTAAGGGAGATTTTTTTTTTAAATGGGGCAATTGCACACTTCTGGGAAAGCAAAACAGTTGTCCAATAAGGGAAATGGAATCACAGCACACTTCAAGGCCCAGCTTTGAATAACATTTGCATAGTCATAAAATTAAACACTGAATACTGATGCAACAACAACAGAACGTTCTAACTAAACCGGGAGAAAGAGAGGAAGAAAAATGTGTGTGGTGGTGTAGATAAAAGGGCATTAAACCTTTGTCTTCCAAAGCAGGGAGGCAACAGTTTTTAATGTCTTAAGAACTGGAAAATCTGAATTAGAAGTGTTATTTAAAAACATGGAGGCATATGACAGAAGTGCCATGTAAAATGTATAAAAAAGTGGTTGTCTTTGGAAGTGAGAATTGAGCCTGGGGATTGATATTTTTTAAATCATAAGATCACTATAAGCCAGCTATTTGACTTTTTAAACTAATATAAGTATAAATACAATAGAAAAAATTAAATTGAAAAAAGAAAAAAATACACAACTGCACGCCAGTCTATGGAGTAGCTATGACTGATGTGAAGAGTGGAGTGAAGGGAAGGAAGGCTTAACGGAGAAGACAGCCCTGAATTCTGCCGGGATGCAAGGGCCAGGGACGGCTTCTCCAGTCATCTGAACAGAAAGGACAGTGGAAGCTCTGAGGACAGCTGAGCCCTCTAAAGGAACAAGTTTGGAGGAAGAAGAGCAGAAGGCCAGAGACCAAGCCTGGAGGTGTGCAGAGGAGCCTGCAGTGAGGAGTGGTCCTGGGGGTGGGAGGGGGGATGGCAATCCCTGCCAAGGAGGCCAAGGTGAATGGTTAACAAGGTAACCAACGGACTAACAATGTCAAATGCTGCTTTGAGGTCCAGGGGACTTAACATAAAAACGGCTTATGGCCCACATGATCTCACACAGCCCTGGGTGACCCCCCAGAGAGGACCTTCCCGAAGCAGTGAGGGCAGAACAGAACCAGAACTAGGTGAGCAAGCCTAAGGCAGCTCCCAAGGGAAGCACACACCTCCCTGCGGCCCCTCAATCTCTGCTCGTTCTCTGGGAGGCAGCAGGCTTAGTTACCAGGTAAAATGCATGCAACACTTGGGACATACTTATACGACAATTGTTGTTTATCCGAAACTCCAATTTAACTGGGCGTCCTGTGTCTTTATGTGTTAATTCTAGCAACGTCAGGAGGCTATGCCTTGGACAAAAGCATGGAGGTATCTCAGCCTTGCAAGTTGAGACTCTGCTGCTGGCTACTCCCACGAGGCCCCTGCCATTTGGGAGGAGGGGAACCTCAAGGTGGCAAGGTCCAGAGGGTGGACCTAGGAGACTCAAGTCAGGGGATGGCAGGAGTTTTCAATGAGCTGCCCTTCAGGTCAAAACCACCTGAAGTTCCTTCTGTAAAGGGAGGTGGTTGAGTCAACGTCTCCTTTGGCCCGAGGGGCAAATCTGGCACCTGAAAATGATCCTTGTGCTTCTCAGAGCCTGTTCTCTTGGGGAGAAATGATGCCACATCCTTGAGGTGGGAACAGTGGGAGACTTCCGTGTCCTTCTTGTGTGATTTTTTACCACAAGCACGTATTACTTTTACAACAGCAAAAGGCAATAGACATTTCCATATTGAAAATAAAATAAAATGAGGCTGCAGTGGACCAGATAATCTGTCCTAAGCTAAGATTCTGCAATTCTATTTCCCGTTCTTTATTTGCATGTCATTTTAGGAGCATTCAGTAATGCTGCCTTGTGGTGGGTTTTTTTTGTTTTTTTTTTCCGCTTTTATTCCCCCGAGAATTCTGAACCCAGCTACTCACTGCTCGGCCCGCTGACCCTGAATGTTGCCCCACCTGTGGGCAACCATCTTCCCACCACCCCCACTCTCAGAGGTCACTTGGTTTGGCCTGGCTGGGCCCAAGCCTCTGGGCTCATTCCTGACCTGGAAGACTCCCCAGGTGACCTTTCTGAAGCCAAGGAAAGCTTGCGCGTGGGCTCTGTGAGAGCTGACAGCCGTGAGACTCCTGGGTCCCTATGAGAGCAGACCCGGATCCTGGGGAGCTTATGGCTTAACAAATCCTGAAAGGGGGAGAGGAGTTCCCACATTTAGGGACAACTGTCTCTTTCCCGGTTCACTGGAACCCCTCCCTAGTAAGAGATCCCGTTGGAGGGTCCCAGGGGAGCACGGAAAATGCCCCATCCACAGGCAGCATATGGTGGACCCACGGAAGGGTGAGGGCCTGTTCACGGGTTAAGAAAGCCTGAGTAGAACCTTACTTCCACCTCCTACCAGCCCTGTGACCTTGGGCAAGTCGCTTAACTGAGTCTGGGCTGTCCTGAGGATTAAATGAGATAATAAATGCAAAACCCAGGTGCTGGGGAACAGGAGAGGAGTTCACAAACAGAAGCCTTATCTATTTAATCCTCGGAGAGTCCAGAGGCTGCCCATTGGCCAGAAGGAGCCTTTTATCTGCAATTCCCACAGACCCAGGACTGCTCTGGAAGGTTCCCTCACCCTCCAACAGTACCCTCCCTGCTTCAGTCCAGGCAGGGGCACTACCAACCGCTGAAGCAGTGACTGCTCTCCCAGCTCAGGCGCGCTGGCCTGGCCCACGACCTTGGAAGAACCTGGGAGGAAGCCTCACCAAGCGACAGTACTTTTCCACTGCACTGCTCGGCCACCTCAGCTGGCTTTCTGCTATGCAGACAGAAGGCAAAGTGCCCCAGGCCGGCCCCATCAGGAACCCACCCAAAATCACTCTCAGAGAAGGGGGTAGAGATATGCTGTGGGTGAGGGGCAGCGGGAATCCTACAAAGAGAGGAGGGGGGTCCCGAATACGCCAAGGGGATCTTGGAGACCACTAGTGAGACGAGAGAAATTTGCATTGGCAAAGCCCCCTGGTGCTTTCCTGGACGTTCCAGGAGATTCCTACCGCTTAACCGCTCCCTCCACCTCCACCCCTCCCATAATAATGATTAAACCCGTTCCACCGCGCCGGTGCTGGGTCCGGAGCGAGCAGCAGCACTGGCCTGCGCGGGGGAGGAGGGAGAGGAGGGCGAGGGGAGGGGACAAGAGAGCTAGCGGTCCCGCCCGGTGATGTAGGCAGCCGGGGGAGGTGGAGCCGCGACGCCTGAAGGAGTCCCCACCGCAGCCACGCTCCCGGTCTACCCCTCCGAGCAGCCAGCCGGCAGTCCCAGCTCCGGCGACCTCCCTGCCGCCGCAATTTGGGCGGTGGGGACCGCGAGACCCACCCCCCAACGCCGTTCGGGCCTAGGGGGCGCCTTCACCACGCCCTGCCCCTGCTCCTCCTTGCTTCCCGGACGGCTGGACCGACTCCCGGGGGAAGCTGTTCCCGGTCGCTCGGCCGCCGCCCGGGCATCTAGGCAAGCCAGCCCGGCTGGGCACCGGGCATCTGCGAAGCTAGCCCTGCCTGGCAGTGGGCATCTCCGGGCACCGACTGTCTCTGGCGCCGCACAGCTTCTCGCAACTGCGGGGCCGCGGACTTCTGCGCGCCCTCCCCTCCCCCGGCCGCCCGGCAGGACGCCCGTGAGCTCCCGGCGCCCCCAGCCCCTCTGGCCGCCGCCGCCGCCGCGATGCTGCCCTGGAGACGTAACAAATTCGTGCTGGTGGAGGACGAGGCCAAGTGCAAGGCGAAGAGCCTGAGTCCGGGGCTCGCCTACACGTCGCTGCTCTCCAGCTTCCTGCGCTCCTGCCCGGACCTGCTGCCCGACTGGCCGCTGGAGCGCCTGGGCCGCGTGTTCCGCAGCCGGCGCCAGAAAGTGGAGCTCAACAAGGAGGACCCGACCTACACCGTGTGGTACCTGGGCAACGCCGTCACCCTGCACGCCAAGGGCGACGGCTGCACCGACGACGCTGTGGGCAAGATCTGGGCGCGCTGCGGCCCGGGCGGGGGCACCAAGATGAAGCTGACGCTGGGGCCGCACGGCATCCGCATGCAGCCGTGCGAGCGCAGCGCCTCGGGGGGATCTGGGGGCCGCAGGCCGGCGCACGCCTACCTGCTGCCGCGCATCACCTACTGCACCGCGGACGGGCGCCACCCGCGCGTCTTCGCCTGGGTCTACCGCCACCAGGCGCGCCACAAGGCCGTGGTGCTGCGCTGCCACGCCGTGCTGCTGGCGCGGGCGCACAAGGCGCGCGCCCTGGCCCGCCTGCTCCGCCAGACCGCGCTGGCGGCCTTCAGCGACTTCAAGCGCCTGCAGCGACAGAGCGACGCGCGCCACGTGCGCCAGCAGCACCTCCGCGCCGGGGGCGCCGCCGCCTCAGTGCCGCGCGCCCCGCTGCGCCGGCTGCTCAACGCCAAGTGCGCGTACCGGCCGCCGCCCGCCGAACGCGGCCGTGGGGCGCCGCGCCTCAGCAGCATCCAGGAGGAGGACGAGGAGGAGGACGAGGCCGTGCAGGAGCGCGAGGAAGGAGCCCCCCAGCTCGAGCGGCCCGAGGTGCTCAGCCTGGCCCGGGAGCTGAGGACGTGCAGCCTGCGGGGCGCCCCGGCGCCTCCGCCGCCCGCGCAGCCCCGCGGCTGGAAGGCCGGCCCCAGGGAGCGGGCAGGCCAGGCGCGCTGAGAGCGGAGGGGGCAGGACTCGCGGCCCCAGACCCGGCCGGCCTGATTTACAACCTCCAACCCCGGCCCGCCCGCTTCGGCTCCCCCTGGCCCCCCGGCCCTTGCCTCCCTCGTGGTCTCCGTTGTGTCCGCCTCGCGCCTCATCCTGGCTCAGGGTGACGCCTGATATGCCCTTGATCATTGGGGGACGAGAGGAGGGAGCAGCAGTATTCGGCGTTCACCTCTCCCCCATCCAGAGTGTCTGGGCTCCCTCCATTGCGGAATTGCCCCCTACACTTTACACCAAGCCTCTTTGCCCATAGACTACCCCCTCCCTCCCAAAACAATCTCTCGAGAGGAGGGAGAAGTTTCCAGAAATCCAGGAGGGTGGCCTTGGGCCTTGGCCAGGTGGAGGCAGTGGTCTTGCCCTTGGCCAGTCTAGCCTTCCTCCCTGGGATGAGACTGACCCTGGGGAGGCATTCTTGTAGCGAAGAATAATGGAGAACTCAGGCCAGGCCCAAAGTGGGAACTGAGTCTGCTGCCATACACCCAAGGAAGAATTCTCAGGCCTTATGCCTGGCCTCTCTACCCCTTGGAGGACTTCTGGGACCTCACTGCTCTGCTCTGGAGAAGACTGGGATGGTCCCACCCACCCAAACAGGTTAGGCCAGGTAACAGCTCTCTGTGCCAGGCAGCTGCCCACCTGTGCCCTAGTACCGGGCACCCCCACAGGACTCCCCACCCACCCTATCTCTGCAGACAGATGTGTGGTGCCCCACAGCGACGACCAAGATGAGGCCTCCAGAGGAGGTAAGGAGAACCTCTGGCAGGTGCTCAAGGACACTGACTACCCAGAAAGTGGACACGGGGGGTGCCCCCAAGTCGAGTCTTGTCAGAGCAGGAAGGTCCTGACAGCAGCTAGATTCTCATAGCAGGGTGAGGAAGGAGGGTGAGGTAGCCCAGCAGAGGGAGTGGGCCCCGGCCCAAGTGTCTCAACAAGGCCACCAAGAGCCCAAAGTTCTCTGTAAAGGACTGATCATTGTAAATAAAGTGGACCTGCTTTCTCAGTCTTGTCACCACTCCTGTGTTGTGTTTGATGCTAGGCCTGCTGGGGTGAAAGGCTTATCGTCAGAACACTAAAGGGCAAGAGAAGACCCCAGGGAGTAGCCCCCTTTAGCAGCTGGCACCAACTCTCAAGTTGGGGGTGGGGGCAGGGCTGCTGCCAGGAAGCTGTTCCCTTAATGTCAGGGGAGGAGACAGGAACAGGTGCCTTGTCTGAAAATCACATGTGCCAAGGCTTGGAAGGGTGTCAGCTGTCTGTCTTGGCCTCCCAAAATGTCTGTCCGCCTGGGCACTCAGACGCACGCATCCCTGGGACATTGGCGGGAAGGGGACCCTGGCTGGGGACTTCTCATCAGCCACGTATCTTCGAGAAGATTCACGTGTTTGTCCAAGCTTGTGGTATACACTGTGTCTCCTCGGGGATGAGAAGGGAGGCAGGTTGTCAAGAGAGAGGTGGGCAGAGGAGCCGGAGAAATCTGTGCAGACCTTTGTGACAGTGTAATCTGCTTTATCCCTGTGCTGAGCTGGGCACTGATCCCAGAGTTATCCGGAGCCCAGACGAGTGGCCTCTGCAATTGCCAGTGATCAGGATTGTTCTGTTTCCTGGAGCTGCTGGAACAGAGGGTACCACTGCCACTTCACCCTGGTGGAGCCTGCGCAGGGTCAGGGGACTTTGAAGGAGAGAGCTGGGGTTGACTCCACATGTTTGGGGAGGAGGAGGAGCGTGTTACAAGGACCCACAAGGCAAGGATGCCCTGCGTGTTCATTGCTCCCCTCCTATGCATGCCAGGTGTTGTGTTGATGTTTGTCTCATGTGCAGAAGAAAGGAAATGGGAAGATGCCCGACCTAGGAGAGGAGGATGGGCTGCAAGGCAGCCACCGGTGTTTGAGACAACCTGACCCAGCAACAAGGTGACGAGCACAGCCTCTTTAATCATATTCACGAAGCAGATGTTGACTAAGCTCCTGCCTTGGAACGGGCACTGAGCTAGGCTCTGGGGGTCCAGGAGTCCCTCCCATGTGGCTCTTACATTCTCAAGTAAGATGCAGATATTTAAAGGAAGAGTTGCTATATAATAATTCACAGGCATGCTCCCAGCCTCGGTCCCTGCCCCTCCACTTGACTCTGGCAGCCTCCCAAAACAGACAGACAGACAGACAGACCGACAGACACACACACACACACACACACACACACACAGTTGCCTCCTTCCTTCCCTCACTCACGCTATGCTCTCTATACCTGGAGTTAGAAGACCAGGGTGAGAGGACTGTCGCTGCCTCCTTACCAGCTGTGTGATGTTGGGCAACTCACTCAGCCTCTCTGACCCTCACCTATATCAACAATAAAATGGGGATAATATCTACCTCACAGGCTGATTGTAAGAATTAAATAGAATCATGGCAGTGAAATGCTTTGGTAAATAATAAAATGCCAGGCACATGTGAAGAAAACCAGTTTACCCATCGGGCCCCGCTTTTGAGATTAGATTTTAGTGTACCTCCCCGCCAAATCCACTCTCCCTGGTAGCAGTGATTGTAAGTTGTTTCACTGGCCACATCTCCGTTTTCAATGTGTGTGGTGGAAGAAGGACCTGATGCAGCTTCCCTCCTCCAGTGGGTTGAAGATGAGATAAGCCACAGGTGAGCCAGCACAGCGCCAACTGCTGCCAGGCCCCAGAGTGGGGTGTTTGGGGCACCTCCAGCCACCAGGCCCCAGGCAGCATTGCTACCCAAGGGAGGGAGGGGCCTGGGAAACCATGCCCACCTCCATCTCTCTCCCTGCTCTTAGCACAAGATGGAGAAGAGCCCTGAACCACCGGTCAAGTGGTCTGGTGTCCCTGTGTCTCTTCTCCTGGCTTCAGATTCCCCACCTGTAAAATGAAAACGGGGGGAGGAGGGACCAGCGGTTTTCAAACCATGTACCTCCAAGTCCTAGATTCCCAGGGGTGCCCCTGGAGCTGCTGTGGGGAGTGATGGGGAGAAGGAATGGGGATCCCTCCCCGCCCACAACCTGTTTTAACTGGAGCAGCTTATCTGTTTTCTCTTTGGGGTTTCTGGTATTCCATTTGAATAATGGGATTCTACAGACTTTTGTTTTTTAAGTTTAAGTCACTGGGTGACACACTCTCTAAACTTCCCTTCCAGCCCTGATGCTGCATGTGTCTAAGGTCCGTTGGGCCGACCAGGGCCAAGCAGTCATGTTGGAGTGTGTAAATGTGGCAACGGAGGGCTTTCCAAGAACGACAGGCAGCCGACAATGTGGGAAGTGTGTCTCGGCTAGGCCAACCACTCAGGGGTTGAGACTCTTCCTGGGACCTCTGGGGCCTGATTTCCAGCTCTCCTGATCCCACTCCAAAGGGGCTGGCTGTGCCTGATGTGACTTGTGCCGCAGCACACAGCTCACGGGATAAGGTCGGCTGGCCCACCCACCAGTGGCATCCTGACCCTCACTCTCCTCTTCCACACGCACCTGCTCCCCATTCCCCCGACATCGCCATGCGCTTCCCCCTCTAGGCTTGTATCCCTGCTGTTCTCACTACCTGGAACGTCTTCCCTTTGGCCACACATTTTCACATCCTACCCTCTCTTCAAGGCCCACCTCAAATTCCACGGACTTGAAACTTTCCTTAATGCATACCCTGCCTCCAATCCTGCCAAATGTGGGGGTGATCCCTCCTCTCAAACTCACCCAGGACATGGCCTTTGCTTTCCTCATGGTCCTCACCATGTGACACCTGGGATTACTGATTTTATATGTCTTGTCTTTCATGCTGATCCATCTTCATTTTCCTGCCCTCTTCAATACCTTGACTCGCAGGGCAGAGAGTCGGTGCTCAATAATAATTTGTTGAATGAATACATGAATGAATGGGCCAGAGGGAAGAGCCATCATGGGATAGGAAACCAAGTGGGTGGAGAAGCGTTCCCTCTGCCAAGCTCCTGCCTGTAGATGCTGAAGGAGAACTATCCTCAGACGCCCTTTTCAGACGGATGGCTATTTTGGGGGAGAAAATCAGCCAGGGGAGGAAACTGAAGCCTCTGTCCACAGGGTCTGCTCCAAGCTCCAAAACCTCAGGCCGGGCCTTCTCACTCTGTGGACTGGTCCAGGCCCAGCGCAGTGCTGCCAATCACAATATAGGGCAGCTCCTGGCGGTGACCACCCTCCGTGCACGCTGGCTGGGCGGCGGGAGGACCGTGCAGACAGCTGCCGTCTCTAAGGTAACACACAGGTGGTGGGACCTGGGCTTGGGCATCAGACAGACCTGAGTGCTGGGCCCAGCACTGCCGCTCGATGGTATCACTTGGGGCAGGTTTCCAAAGGCTTTTGGAGCTTTGGTTTTCCACCCGTAAAAATAGGGCGGGGTGAGTCTAGATCCTCTATGGTTGTTGAGGGAATGGAGTAAGAAGCTGTGTGGGATAATTGATTTCGCACAGTGCCAATAAGTGGTAGCTGCTGCCCTTATGCTTATTATTATCATTTTAGCTGGAGCTCTCCTAACTGACAGCTCTGGGATGAGGAGATCAGGTGCCTGGTCTCTGGGACACTAAATATGTTGCTTATTCATGCCTTTACTTTCAACCAACATAAGCCTCATCACCTTAACACTAAATTAGATCCAGTATCTTCTGCTTTTTGTATGTCCTTTTCACCTTAGCACCCAGCACAATGCCAGGCACACTCAGAGGTGAATGCATGAATGAATGAATGAATGAATGAATGATTTGCTGTTGCCAGCAGCAATGTTAGCACATAGCCTTCCCAGCCAAGGTCTTCAGAAAGCTAGGAGGCCATTCCTTTGCAAGGGATGGGTCAGCTTCCCCTCATCCCTGTCTGCCCTTAGCTACAGGCTCTGGAGAAGAGGAGGATGCTGCTGGCTTAGGGACCAGCCGGTCCCCAGGATAGGAGAGCTGAAAAGGATCGGGGAGGCTGACACGCAGGTCTGGCGAGTCCCTCAACCAGAACTATCCTCTCTCTCCCTCTGCTCCACTGCCTGCCTGTCCGTAGAGCACGTACGGGTTCGTCCACTGATCCAGAGTAATGAGCGTTATCACCACTCGACTTAAGAGTGAGAGGAGGCTGGGCAGGCAAGGACTGAAGCTGGAGTTCAAGCCACCAGAAAGGAGACCTCGGCAGAGAGGGCCAGTACTTCTGCATCCTGGGAGCCCTTGACAAAGAGGCTAAAGGAGCTGGGCTGCAATGGAAAGCTCGGGCAGATCTTGTTTTTGCCTGCCCGGCATCCCTCAGTTCCCCCTTTACAATGGAGACTGCTTCCTCGTCCTCCTGGGCACACAACTAAACTCTCCCATTCTCCCCTGCACTGAGCTGTGGTCATGTGACCGAGTTCTGGCCAATACAATTGATGAGTGTCACTCCCAGCGCCAGACCATGGCAAACATAGCCTTTGCTTTATTGTCCTGCCTGCCTCCTGGAGGTCATCACCCAGGGAGTTCTTGGAGGCACCATGTTGAAGATGACAGAGCATCCACCAGCCCGGGTCCCTGAATGACCACATGAAGTTGAGCCCCACCCCTGCCACCAATGGAAGCAAGAAATAAAATTTTATTGTGTTAGCCACTGACATGCTAGGGTTGTTTGTTGCAGCACATAGCTTACCTCAACTAACACACTCTTCTTGTGACCCACTGCCCTGATGTCCCTGGTGAAGCCACCATGCCCCATTCTTGGTCCCTGGGCTACCATACATGG